TGACAAAATGACCTTTAAGAACTTTGAAGACTGTTTTTATGTCTAAGAATTTTTAAAAATTAAAATGTGTGCAATTCAACTGCTTTGTGCATTCAAATTCCCATCTTAGGAGGTAATATATACAAAGGTCTTAGAATAGTTCCTGGCATATGTGTTCAATAAAACATTTATTTACATAGAAGTGCTTGTTGACACCCTATTATACAGATAAGGAAATGCTTAATGTGAGAAAGTGCTTCATACCTGAAACTAAATGCTGAAGAGATATCCACTTAGCCTCTATAGTGGATGTCAAGTTCAGAACAGCTCCTTTAGTTCTAATTAAGACCCCCCGCCGACAGCAATGATTTCTCCATTACACGCCATAAAGAATCCTGAACAAAGTTGTTCTCTCTTAAATGCCTCCTGATACGCCAGAGAAAGGTCACTGTATAATGACAGAGCACAAACTGACAAAAACCTCTGTGAACAGGAATGGTTATTAACACATCACTCGGCTTTTGGGTAAATACATTTCTTAGATTTAAACTAGAAAATTTCTGTCCCATGTCTGTGGGAAACCAAGAATACATCTTACCTGATCTGCAAAGGCACAGGCCTCAAACAGTATCTTATGTCAAAGGTGCACATAGATTGGCAATGCAGTCTGGTTAATAATATAAATTCTGGTAAAACTAGAAACTACTAGACTTACACAAAGATGGCACCAGCAAGGGCATAGTGCTTCCTATTCCTCTGATGTGGAACTGTGAGGGCAATGGGGGAGGAGAGAGAAGGGAGACCAGGGGGATCACGACCCTGAGAAGAACCACAATATCCTTACCCTTCAGGAAAGAGGGAAAAGAGATGGATACAGAGCAAGACGTTCTGTGCTCAGAAACTCACTAAGGCATGAGATGCTGCAAAAGTTGGTTTTGCTCTTAACTCACTTATACTTATGGTTACCTTGATCTAGAATTTTTGAGAAAAGGAACGCATTCATTCAGAAGGAATTTATTCCTAGCTTCTATTTCTAGATTTTAACAGTTACAGCCAAAAGCTGATCAGTCTATAGCCATCATAATTTTTCTTGCACCAAAGTCATAATACCCTAAAAGTAATTGTGCAATTACTACTTATGGGTCAGAACTAATGCCAATTAAGGCTTTGGAAAATGATGTTTTCTTTTTCTTTCTTCTTTTCAATTTTTTTCCCTGATGAATTCATTTTGAAGAATCAAAATGTTTCTTTTTTTCCTGACTTTTTTGGGGTATAATTGGCAAATAAAAATTTTGTATATTTAAGATGTACAATGTGATGTTTTGACATACCTATACATGGTGAAATAATCATCACAATCAAGCAAATTAGCATAGGAAAATGACCTTTTCAAGTAAAATATATTCGAGTTGCAAACTATTTCCTCGTGATTTTACAAAAGAAATGAAGGCAAAGTGCAAAAAATTTAAATGACGGCATATTAGGACAAGAAAAAGCCATGACTTGGTGTTGTCTAGACACGCATTCACTGAACAGTAATAGTGTTATTTAATCTTATTTTGCCACCTATTTAGAGAAAGATATATCAATTTTCATGCCATAAATAAGTTGCTAAAGGTGATTACATTCCTATTTTTTTCCAGTGAAAAAGCAAATTAGAAATTTAGCATAAAACTTAGACTGGGCAGACCTTTGAGAGCGAAAGGTCTCTTACAATCTCATTATAATGAATCCCATATAATGAATTATAATGCCCCTTGCATATATTAGTCAGCTATGATCTTGAACTTAGGTGGCCACTTGTACCCCAAACACATGTAACTAATTTGACCCAATACCAGTTTTTTTTTTTTTTTTTTACGTAACAGCAACCCATAAACTTCGATTAAAACAGAAAGCATCATTAAGCTGGTCCTGGCTGGGCTCACACATTAGTGTGTGGCCAGCTGCTGGGCTGGCTAAGTGGCTTCCCTTCTGGGGGTGGGCTTGTCTAGAATGACCTCAGCTGGGAGAGTTCATCTCTGCTCTACATGGTCATGTGACCTTGAGCAAGGGACCTGACCTCTCTGATCCTCCCTGCTCAATCATTCTTATCAACATACAAATAAATTGTTATTTCTCTCACTCTCAGCCAAAAAGTCCACTTCCAACTCCAGCTGTCACAGTCTCTCTACTCATTTTTATAACAAAACTCTTTCAAAGGAGTTTATACTCACTGTCTTCAACTCCATTCTTCCTGTTCTTGCTAAAATCTACTCCACAAGGTTTTAGCCGACACCACTCTGCTCAAACTGCTCTTATCAAGGTCACCAGTCACCCCTACATTGCTCAGTTCAACGCTCCATCTCCGTCCTCATCTTACCTGACCCATCGGCAGCATCTGACACATATCATAACCTCCTTCTCCTGCTCCCAGACAACACGCCCACCTGGCTGTCCTCCTACCTCACTAGTTTCTCCTCCCAGGTCTCCTTTGCTGGCTCCTTCTCATCTTCTTGATCTCTTAATGTGAGAGTTCCTCCAGGCCCAGTCCTTGCATTTTCCTCTCCTCTCCTCTCCCCTCTTCTCCTCCCCACTTCCCAGCTGTTCTCTCTTCTTCCCCTCTCTATACTGACTCCCTTGATCCCAGCAGGTCTCCTAGTTTTAAGTATCATCAATATTCTGATAATTCCAAATTTATATCCCCATCCTGGATCTCTACCCCAAATCCAGACATTTATATCCAGCAGCCTATTAGATATCTCCACTTGGGTGTTATATTTTCCTATTGGGGCTGCAAGAAATGATCACAAACCTAGTGGCTTCAAACACCACAAATTTATTAAATTTATTACCTTACCTTTCTGGAGGAGGTCAGAAGCCCAAAATGCATCTCAGTGGTCTAAAGTCAAGGCGTCAGCAGGGCTGCATTTCTTCCTAGAGGCTCTAGGGAAGAATCCGCTACTTTGCCTTTTTCCAGCTTTTCGAGACTGCTTGCGTTCCTTTGTTTGTGGCCAGGACCATCTTCAAAGCTAACAATGGCCAGTCAAATCTTTCTCATGTTGCATCCCTCTGACTCCTCTGTCTCCTTCTTCCACATTTAGAGACTTGTGATGGCTTGTGATTACACTGAGTTCACCTGGATAATTCTATCTTAAGGTCAGCTAATTACCAACCTTAATTCCACCTACTACCTTAATTCCTCTTTGCCATGTAACTAAACATATTCACAGGTTCCAGGGATTAGGATCTGGATGCCCCCTTTGCGGGGGCGGCATTGTCCTACCTGCCACAGATGTCTTGTCATGTCAAACCTCGCATGTCAAAACTGAACTCCTGATCTCAGCAATCCTGCTCCTCTCTGAGTCTTTCCCAGCTTCCACCAATGCCAACCCTTCCTGTAAGCCAGGCCTGAAAGTTTGGAGTCATTCTTACTCTTCTTTTTCTATCCCCTATTCAATCTATTAGCAAATCCTAGGAATTCCACCTTCAAAATATTCTCAGAATCTGATGATTCTCACTGTTTCTAGTGCAACAATACTGGTTCAACTCCCTCTCATTACTCTCCAGGTTACTGTTAATAGTCTCCAGAACCCCCAGGTTATTATAATAGCCTCCTAACTCATCTGTCTGGTTTCCACCCTAGCCTACCAGCACCCCATCTACTACTGCTTGCCTACACACAGTCTATTCATAGCACAGCATCCATAGGATGTTTTTCCAACACAAGTCACATCATGTAGTTTCTCTGCTCAAAACCTTCCGAAGACTTCTCAACTCCATAAAAGTCAGTGCCTGCAAAGCCCTCGGGATCTGGCTTTTTTTCTAACCTCTTCTATTCCTCCCTCACATACTTGCATCACTCTACCCACGGGGGCCCCCCTGCTTTGTCTGCAACACTCCAAGCACCTCCCTGGGGCCCTTGCACTTGGCAGTTTACTCTTTGCGGCATGACCTTCTCCCAGGGGTTTACCTGAGTCTCTCTTCACCTCCCTCAATCTTTGCTCAAAAGTCACCATCTGAGTGAGGCTTTCACCGTCCATCGTCCTTTACTTTAAATTGCACGTGCACACAAACACACACAGAACACTCTTCTTCTTTAACGCTCTCCTTTTTTTTTTTGGTATCACTTACCACTTTCTAACTTATCATATAATTTATATAATTATAGTTTTTTTTCCCTCTCACCACTAGATGGTAAATTCCATGAAGGCAGGGATGCTTTGATGCATTCCTACTTCCTAAGCCAGTATCAGGGACATAGTAGACACTCAATAAATATTAATTGAATAAATGACTCTGCCTCAGTTTCTTTATCCGTTAAAATGGGAATGTTAGGAACAGGAACTACATCATAGGGTTACTGGGAGAATTAAATAAGTTAATATACGAAAAGTGCTTATCCCAGGGCCTGACACAAAGAAAGCACTAATTAGGTGTTTGCTCTTACAATCTCTCTACCATTTATACTGGTTCTTCTCCTGTTACTCAGTGAGTAACCAAATACCACCACTCAAGAGGTAATGAGTAATACACTGAGAACACATTGTGTCCTAGCAATGAGGATGAATGTAAATACTTGGTCTTTTATATAATTGGGCAGAGCCCTCAGCAAGGTGGGCTCTTGCGTTAATCCCTGCTGGCTCTCTAGGTGTGTGTATGGAGGGCAGGATGGGATTCTTCTTATTTTTCTTTTGGATGCACACATGGTAACATGGACAAAGGAATTAAACTTTAGAACCTGTTCAGAACTAACCACAAAGGGTCAGATCACAAAAGGCTGATGAAATTAACTAAATCCTCTTGACTTCCATGGTTCCACATTCCTTGGTCATTAGTTGGATTTAGGCAATACCTTCAAGCCTAGAACAGGCACCATACTACTTACCCAGTTTGGGTGTTGGCCCAGCGTGCAAACCACATTAATCTTATTTCAAAATGTCAAAATTCCAGTGTTCAGAGAATTGGGATATGCTTCCAAATACATCAAATAATCAAATTATCTTTTGGTCTTATTCCCTTATCCCCTTGTGGCATCTTACCAAACTGAAGCCCAGAGATCACAGCAAACTTCCTTCCATTTTCATATCAGTGAGGCTGAGAAAGAAAAAGATTTATTACCTGGAAGCAGAAACTCAGTGGAGAGCCAAACTTCAGACTTACACATCTGTGAAAATTAAAGTCTTTCCTGACAAGGTAGGTCAAACATCACTGATGTGTGGCTACTGGGTGGTCAGTCTTATTCACTCCCTAATAAATATGAAGCACCTCAAAATCAGTTTTATAATAAACAGAATCATAGTTGACTATCTTTCTTAATTATTACTCCTGATACTTAATTTCGTTACTTCAGACAGAATTCTATGATATTTGACTCTTAATAACAGACTTTAACACCACATTGTGAAGACTGCTGTGTGTGGTTGAACAGATAATTCATTGCATGTGGTTATCTAGCTAAGGGGGCAAGAGAGGCTGAAAGATATTTGGTTTTATTAATTTTTAATTCTGAAGGTTGATTGTAAGTGCAGGCATACCTCATGTTACTGCACTTTGCAGATAACTGTGATTTTTACGAATTGAAGGTTTGTGGCCACCCTGTGTTGACTAAGTCTACTGGTGCCATTTTTCCAACAGCATTTGCTCACTTCATGTCTCTGTGTCACATTTTGGTCATTCTCACAATATTTCAAACTTTTCCATTATTATTACATTTGTTATGATGATCTGTGGTCAGTGATGATTGACGCTACTGTTGCAAAAAGATTACGACTCACCCAAGGCTCAGATGATGATTACCTTTTTTAACAATAAAGTATTTTAAAATTAAGATATGTATATTGTTTAGACTTACTGCACACAAGAGGCTACAGCATAGTGTCAACATAACTTATATGCATTGGGGAACCAAGGTATTTGTATGACTCACTTTTTTCAATGTTTGCTCTTATTGTGGTGGCCTGGACCTAAACCTGCAATGTCTTCGAGGTCTGCCTGTATTAAGGATAAAGCCTGGAAGACTCAGAGCATAAGGATGTGGCATAAACCACAGAACTGGAAAGAACAGATGATAATAGCACAGAGGACACAGGATGGCAGCGAGCCACACACTACTGATACCTACATCATTCGTAAGATCCTTCCAGAAATTTAGATCAGACCTGGGGAGAAGGGGAGAAATGGAGAAGAAAGTAGAAAGGAAAACCCTGAATGTGGCAATTTATCTAAAAAAAAAAAAAGAATTTTTCAAAAATGACTGAGTTTCAATAATTTGGTAAGACTGTTTTCTGCAGTCTACTAAACAGATTGGGGACTCTAGATCCTAACTCAGTTTTTAAGCTTTTGAAAAATGGAATAAGTCTGGGACTATAAATTTTATACTCAGCACACTAGCATTTATTAAGTTTCTGTAGCATTGTAGACACTACACAAAGAGCCTTATACACATTACTGCATTTAATCATTCCAGGGAAATAAGTAGCCTGAGAGGCTGGCTGTGTATTTTCTTTTTATTATTTTTTTTTGAGGGGTGAGGTAATTAGGTTTATTCGTTTATTTATTTTTAGAGGAGGTACTGGGGATCGAACCCAGGACCTCCTACATGCTAAGCATGCGCTCTGCCACTTGAGCCAAACCCTCCCCCACAGCTGTATATTTTCTATTTGTCGCTCCAGATCCTTATTCCTGTTGCTCTGTGGTAAGAGAGGCTGACTGACATAAACCAGATCAACTGGCCACCTTATCCTCCTGCTTCTTGGTGAGCCTGGCCAATAGGAGAGCTGTGGAAAGTGAGATGGGGGGGTCCTTACATCCCAAGCCCGCCTTGTGTCAGATTGTCCTCATCCCTCTACTGAAGGTGATGGCTCCTGTCAGGCAGCCCTCCCCACCTGCTGCTGCTTTGCACTCAATATCCATGTTCCCTTCAAAATCACATGAAGCCCTAATTCCAAAGTGATGGTGTTTGGAAGTGGGCCTTTGGGGAGTAATTAGTTGAGATGAGGTTATGAGGATGCAGTGCCCTTGATGGGATTAGCTTCCTTATAAGAAAAGGAAGAGAGACCAGAGCCTGCCGTCTCTCTGCCATGTGAGGACACAGTGAGCAGGCGGCTGTCTGCAATCCAGGAAGCAAGCTCTCACCAGGAACCCAATCTGCCAGCGCCTTAATCTTGGACTTTCCAGCCTCCAGAACCATGAGAAACAAATGTCTGTTGTTTAAGCCTCCCGGTCTACGGTATTGTGTTATAGCAGCCAGGGTGGACCAAGACAGCTACCCTCTCAGAGGTCTAAGAACCATGCCCTCTGTTGCCCCATCAGGCACAGGGGAGGCAGGGCTCCCTGATGTTGCTAGTTTTAAAGTACTGCACTGTTCCTTGCTGGTTTCCACGAAGCCCGCCTACAGTTTCGTAAATCGTCCCTCTCTAGTTCCCCAGTTAAACTGTGCCATCTATTTCCTGCCAGGACGCTCACTGACATACGGGTACCTCCTAAGCAGAGACTGGGGACTACTTCTCAGCAGGGACTTCCTCATCTTTGGGCTAAATGATTAAAATGCCTCTTTCAGCTCTGAGAGTCCTTGTATACTTCTTACCATGATCCTAAGACGATATTCATTATATTTTTATTCACTTATACGTAAAACAACATTTTCCTGTAAATAATCTTTACATTCTGCTGAGCAAAACCATTCTGTGTAGCTGTTATTTCATGATCCGTGCATTCAATTTAAAAGAAAAAGGAATAAAGAAAAAGCCACTGACAGTCCAGTATCAGTGCGGTGCTGGAGGGCAGGTATCAATCGGGAGTCTTTAGGGAGGGAGGCCCTGGAGAGTCCACAGCCTCTCTGCCTAGGATGGCGAGTTTCCTAATTAGGGGTGGGATTCAGAACCCAAGATTCCTGCTCACCAGAAGAGGACGGGACTCCTGTCCACAAGCTCAGCCAGTTGCAGGGCTTAACCAGTTTGTCTGGAGGGCCATGTTGATGCTCCTGAAAGCAGCAACATTTCTCAACATTTCCTGTGTATTCAGCTCCCCTGTCGAGTCAGAGTCTGCAAACTCTATGGTAAAACATAGTGAGAAAACACAATGAGGGAAAAGATACAGTGTGTCTCAATTTCAAGTCACTACCCCATCTCCTTTTGTCTCAAAACCAGAATAGCCAAGCTGCTGTTTATGTTGTTGTAATTATTGCTAACAATACCTCACACTTGTCTAAGGCCTTACATAATTCATGAAGACTCTCATTTTTATCCTGACAACAACCTCTCCACACACACACACACACACACACAACTGTGAAAACAGACAGTGCAGGTACTCTCTTTTATTTGTACTATCGGTGTGCATTTTTTAAAAAGGTCTCTTAATGTCTATCTCTTTCCATTCCAACCCTTTCATTTTTAAATGATAAACCATAAATGTGACTTTTCTTGATCTTACTAAAAGTAACCATATTAGTAATACTATGTGTTCTGTATTATTTCACATTCTTTTTTTTAATATCTTCTGTAAACAGAACTGTGATAAGTGTTGTAGGTAATGCTAGAACAGGGCTGTTCAACAGAACAGTCTGCAGTGACAGAAATATTCTATATTTACGGTGTCCAATATGATGGCAACTTGCCACGTGTAGCCAGTGAGCACTTGAAATTTGGCGAATGCAACTGAGAAACTGAATTTTTTATTTTATTTGATGTTAATTTAATTTATTATAATTTAATCTTAACTATTTAAAATTTAAATAGCTGAACTTAAATAGCTAATGGCTACTGTCTTGGGCAGTACTGTTATGTATATTCCTTGAAGAGGAGCTAGGATTCTGTTTTAGAGCTAAAGTATTGTTTCTTACTGCTTTTTCTTTGTTCCTGCATTCCCTTTCTTCCCTTAAGATCACTAATTACTGAGACCAGTCCAAGGGTAAGCATTGTGGCCAGACTTAGATCACAAAAAGGCTTGGGCCAAAAATGGCTTCTCTTATGTCAGGAAAGCCATGCTTGGTTCTTTTTCTCTGGGGACCCCCACCCTATCTGCTTACATTTCTTGTTAAGAACGTTTTTTTTATTCTTGAATGAAAGCTCGTAAGACAGATGCTTATAACATTACTGTTTGCTGCCATGAAAAAGAATGAGGTATCAGGAAATGGTTGCGTTTCACAAACATCAATGTTTTACTGTCACATGTGAGGATATGGAAGAGGAAGTCTGCCCAAGAGAGAAGTGAGGAAATCAGTGTTTAACACTGCAAGGATTTGCAAATGTGCAAAGTGCAAATTTATTAAAAACATGTGAACACAACTGGCTCAAAGTGTTATTTACTTTAAAAAGTCCCTTATCTGACATTGCCTTTATTCCACTTCAGTTTTAGGATAAAGATAAAATCATAGTAGAAACCTACAGAAGGGAAAAGCAGGAGCATATCCTTAAGGAATAACAGGCTTGGAAAAAACTGTGAAATTAAGGCTCAAAGGTTGTTGGCATTTATTCTCCTCTCACTCCCTTAAAATTCTGAACACCATGCATTCTATTTCCATAAAATGCATTTAGTGTTTTCACATTTCCACCAATTATATCAAGCAATCTAATTTGACCCTTATTTAACAGGAAGCTTTTCTTAGTGTTTTCATAACTTTATTACTATACAACATGAAAAACAAATGTTATGGATGATTCTCGTTTGGATCCTAGATTGGAAAAAAAGCCCCAAATCAAAAACTAACGACTTTTTCTTTGATCTCTTTCCCTTTGTAGGGGAGCAGAATTTGCCACCCTAAAATAAGTCTCTTTGGCATATTCACTGTTTTAAGGTGGTTATTTTCTAATAAACAGCAGACTTGGGAGGAGTTCTGAAAACCAAGTAGAAGTTGCCCTTTTGTAAGAAATATTTACATTTGTAAGGGAAATCTCCATTTATAAGTGTGTCTCCCTCTTTGTACCTGGAGAAGGAGGGTAACCAAAGCTCTAGAAACTTTTATCAATGGAAAGGCAAAGACTTAAATCTGCACCATAATTATTCTTGTTCACTGTGCCTTTCCTGGTAACCTCCCATAATTGACTGTTCCCACTCTCACATCCTCTTTTGTCTTTAGCCAAGGATAGTATTCAAGGTGAGGGCTTGGGCCATTTGAGAGAATTACTGTTTTCCTGGGCTGCTCCCATGTATACATGTTATTAAACTTTGTTTGACTTTCTCCTGTTAATCTGCATCTTGTCAACTTAGTTCTCAGACCAGCCAGAGAGCCTAGAAGGGTAGAGGGAAATGTCTTCCTCCTTAACACCTTCAACCCTACAAGCACACAAACACACACACACACACACACACACACACACACATACACGCACTCCACACTCCTGCCAAACACCATTTTCAGGACAGTGCTTCTCAAACTATCTGAGGTGAAGAACCAGTTTTTCTTTTTCTAATCCAGCGTGAACTCACATCTTTATAAACGACAACACAAAAGAATAACTAAACAAATGGAATAAAAAGACATGTATAATATCTTAATTGGACATTTTTAAGACAATGGAGACACTTTGAAAATAGGCTATATATCAGATAATTTAATTATATCAATATCAAACTTCTTTGGTGTGATATGATATTACAGTTACATAGGAGAATGTCCTTGTTCTTAGAAAACACATGGTGACATGTTTAGAGATGAAGTGTCATGGTGTCTACAACGTACTTTCAAATGTGTTAACGGACCAGGTCCATTTGCCTGATGTGAAGCAAGACAAATGCTGAGATGCTGAGGTTTATAGCAGAGGAAGGAGTTTATTCACAAGACAGCTAAGCGAGGAGATGATAGAATAAGTCTGATCCACCTCCCTGAAGTTGGGACATTTATAGGATAAACAGGGTGGTCCTGGCATGGGGAAAGGTCGGTGCTCTGTGCAGGTGCACCTGGGTTACATGTCTCTGCATATTCAAAATGGAGGCACTTAGCATGATCTGAGGGTGGAGTTTTCTGGCCCTCTGACGTCAAAAGACCACTCATCGGATACCTGCACAGGCCCAGTTTGAGGGTCAGTGGTCCCAAGCAGCTTTAGGCAGCTCACACTGGACAAGAGCTGACCCCAAGTTCTTTAAAACAACTGGGCCACGTGAAGCTGGGAAGGTATGCAATTAAAGAGAGGGAAAAAACCAAGAAAAGGAAAAAATGACTAAAGCGAGCTTCATCAAGGAAGGCAGTTTACAAGCAGAGGGGTTTTAACAAGCTGTTCCCTATCTGTTGCTCTGTAAGATGAGCTCAAGAATTCCTGTTAGTCATCAACTTCTGTTAACTCTATAGAGCATGGTTTCAAATGGTTCAGTATTTTTTAAAAAGGCAGCTTGAGATAGACAGATAAATAGATACAGATAGATAGATAGATACACAGACAGACAGACAGACAGACATGGCAAGCCAATGTGGCCAAATGTTGATAATGGGTATATTTAAGCAGGCCTGTTCCTGTCCCTGCAGGGCCTGGGTGCAAATGGACAGACATGGCAAGCCATGTGCCCAAATATTTAAGATTATAAGGCAAACTCATAAAATAATAAAATATACTCTTTTACCTTACCAATATATCTTCATAATCACCTAGAAGCCAAGTTCAAATGTAGAATTCACAAACTTCTACAAGTTTTGTTCTAGAACATGGCAATGCAAGGAGAGCCCATCCCTAGTCTCCTGGCCTGCAGCCAGTCCCCTTCCTCTGCCCACCCCCAGGTCCATCTTGCACCACAAGGGACCTTATGCATATGTATGTGTGACACCTCAGTTCATGCATTCAAGCACCATCTGTGGGGTGGCAGAATATGCTACCTCCAAAATATGTCACTTTGGCATAAGGATTATTTTGAGCTGAAGGCAATTGAGAAGAAGCAGATATAAGAAAACCTCCCTGCCTTTCCTCTATTTACCTAAGAGCAGGACATAAGTTTGCAATGCTGTACCTCCTCTCCTCTCTACCAGGAAGAACAAAAGTTAATCACCATACAATCCAAAAATCCCACTCTTGGTCACATATCTGGAGAAAACTCTAACTTGAAAAGATACATGCACCCCAATGCTCACAGCAGTACTATTTACAATAGCCAAGATGTGGAAGCAACCTAAATATCCATTGACAGATGAATGGATAAAGAAAATGTGGTGTATATATATGTGTGTGTGTGTGTGTGTGTGTAGATAGTTAGATAGATAGATAGGAATATTACTCAGCCATAAAAAAGAATGAAACAATGCCATTTGCAGCAAAATGGATGGACCTAGAGATTATCATATTAAGTGAAGTAAGTCAGACAGAGAAAGCCAAATATCATATGATATCACCTATATATGGAATCTAAAAAAAATGATATAAATGAACTTACTTACAACCTGGAAATAGACTCACAGACATAGAAAACAAACTATGGTTATAAAAGGGGAAAGGGGTTGTGGGGAAGCATAAATTAGGAGTTTGCAATAAACATATATAGCACACTACTACATATAAAATAGATCAACAACAAGGACCTACTGTATAGCACAGAGAACTGTATTCAATATCTTCTAGTAACCTCTAATGGAAAAGAATCTGGAAAAGAATATATATATATAAACACACACATGTATATATATATATATATATATACACACACACACACAAGTAAATATGTATGTGTATACACACACACATAAATATATATGTGTATATATACATACACATATATATTTGAATCACTTTGCTGTACACCTGAAAATATAACATTATAAATCAATTATACTTCAATTAAAAAAAAGTACATTTTAAAAAAACCAAAAAAAGTTAATCACCAGGGATAACTTTACAGCCTGGATGTCTGGAGATGGCACCAGAGGAAGCTACATAACAAACTGTACTAATCAGCTTTATCTACTATTAGTTTCCTACATATTTGCCTTCCCTTTATTCGCTGCCCTATACATCAATATCACAGCTCCTCACTCCCACAGACAAGGGTTTCTCGGCCACCTCTGGGCCGAGAGGTGTGCACAGTGGACGTGATCTAACCTCAGGAAGACAGACACCAAAACAGATGAAAGTAGCAG